TGGAGAGACTGGAACACTTATACACTGTTGGTGGGAATGTAAAATGGTACAACCACTTTGGAAATCGATTTGGCACTTCCTTAAAAAGCTGGAAATAGAAGTACCATGCAATCCAACAATCCCGCTCCTTGGACTATATCCTAGAGAATTAAGAGCCGTCACACAAATAGATATATGCACACCCATGTTCTCTGTAGCACTGTTCATGATAGCAAAAAGATGGAAACAACCTAGGTGCCCAATCAATGGATGAATGGATAAACATGGTATATTCACACAATAGAATATTACGTAATGATAAAGAACAACGATGAAGCCGTGAAACATCTTATAACATGGAGGAAGCTGGAACTCATTATGCTGAGTGAATTTAGTCAGTCACAGAAGGACAAATATTGTATAAGAGCACTATTATAAGAACTCAAGAAAAGGTTTAACCACAGAAGAAAACATTCTTTGATGGTTACGAGGGCGAGGAGGAAGGGTGAGGGTTATTCACTAGATAGTAGACAAGAATTATCTTAGGTGAAGGGAAGGACAGCACATACTACAGGAGAAGTCAGCACAGCTGGACTAAACCAAAGCTAAGAAGTTTCCTGAATACAATCAAACACTTTGAGAGATAGAGTAGGGATCTGGGGACCATGCTTTCAGGGGACATCTAGGTCAATTGGCATAACAAAGCTTATTAAGAAGATGTTCTGCGTCCTACTTTGGTGAGTGGCATCTGGGGTCTTAAAAGCTAGCGAGTGGCCATCTAAGATGCATCAATTTGTCCCAACCACCCAGAGTAAAGGAGAATCAAGAACACCAAAGACACAAGGAAAGTATTAGCCCAAGAGACAGAAAAGGCCATATAAACCAGAGAGTTCATCAGCCTGAGACCAGAAGAACTAGATGGTGCCTGGCTATCACCAATGACCACCCTGACAGAGAACACAACAGAGTCCTGGATGGAGAAGGTGAAATGTGGGGTGTAGAACTCAAATTCTAGTAAGAAGACCAGACTTAATGGTCTGATGGAGACTGGAGGAACCCCAGAAAGCATGGCCCCCAGACTCTTTGTCAACCAGAACTAAAACCATTCCTGAAGCCAACTCTTCAGACAAAGATTGGACTGGACTGTGGGACATAAAATGATACTCTTGAAAGAGTGTGCTCCTTAGCTCAAGTAGATACATGAGACTAAATGGGCAGCTTCTGTCCACAGGTGAGATGAGAAGGCTGAGAGGATTAGGAGCTGGTTGAATGGACATGGGAAACCGGGTGGAAAGGAGTGTGCTGTCACAGTATAGGGAGAGCAGTTAGGGTCACATAACAATGTATGTATAAATTTTTGTATGAGAGACTAACTTGAAATGTAAGCCTTCACTTAAACTACAACAATAAACAAAAAAATAAAATCAAGAAAGGTGTAGGGTTGTATCCTTTCACCATACTTATTCAATCTGTGTGCTGAGCAAATAATCCAAGAAGCTGTACTATATGAAGAAGCAGACGGCATTAGGATTGGAGGAAGACTCATTAAGAAACTGCAATATGCAGATGACACAACCTTGTTTGCTGAAAGTGAAGAGGACTTGAAGTACTTACTGATGAAGATCAAAAACTACAGCCTTGTGTGTGGATTACACCTCAACATAAAACAAAAAATCCTCACAACTGGACTAATAAACTACATCATGATAAATGAAGAAAAGATGGATGTTGTCAAGGATTCTGTTTTACTTGGATACACAATGTCCATGGAAGCAGCAATCAAGAAATCAAATGACATATTGCATTGGGCAAATCTGCTGCAAAAGACCTCTTTAAAGTGTTACGAGGCAAAGATGACACTTGGAGGACTAAGATGTGCCTGACCCAAGCCAAGGTATTTTCAGTTGCCTCATATGCATACGAAGCCTGCATACAATGAATAAGAAAGACTGAAGAAGAATTGATGCCTTTGAATTATGGTGTTGGAGAAGAACATCTCATATACCGTGGACTGCCAGAAAAACGAACAAATCTGTTTTACAAGGAGTACAGCCAAAAGGCTCCTTAGAAGTGATGATGGCAAGACTTCTTCTCATGTACTTTGGACACGTTATCAGGAGGGACCAGTCCCTGGAGAAGGACATCATGCTTGGTAAAGTAGAGGGTCAGCAAAAAAGAGGAAGACCCTCAATAAGATGGATTCACGTAGTGGCTTCAACAATGGGCTCAAAGATAGCAACGATTATGAGGATGGCGCAGGACTGTACAGAAGGTCACTATGAGTCGGAACCGAGTTGAGGACACCCTAAAATAACATGTGAAGAAATTATGATACAAAACTGTAAATGATACAATCCTAATTTTATTTAAAAAAAAAAAAAAAGAGAGATGATAAAATCCTAATTTTGTTTAAAAAAGAAAAGAAACACTGATTTAAAAAAAGTGCTGTTCAGAAATACATGTTAGAGTAATTATCTCTGGAGAATATTACAGGTATTAGTTTTATTATTTATTTTCTTCTTTGAATTTTTTTGTATTTTCCAATGCAGAAGGTGTGAGTATCCTCACTAATTCTAATATTTCCAGTAGAGGCAGAGTGTATGTATCATAACTGAGAATCAGCAATTCCCCTTTATGCTTCTGATTTATTCAGAAGCTCTTAGTATGAAGAGTAAGGTTCTGGATGAGCACATGAAGAGGTCAGTTGATAAGTAAACTAAATTTTCTTATGAACTCTGTGAAGTCCAGGACTGTCTGATTTCTCGGTCCCCACTTCCCTTCTCAGGTCTGACATAGTCGAGGTGCCCAGTGAATGAGCGTCTTGTCTTACGTGGCCTGTGGTCATTAGTGGTCTTTCCCCATGACTTGTCTCTTCATACATTGACCACACTGGGTTTTGACCTGGAGTCTTTCTGGTTTGGAGTTGGACGTCTGCCCCAAGGGAGTCTCTGGACCAGGGAGAGGAGCCATCAGCCCATGCCCCACATCATCCTGTGCCCCATCTCCCTCTGGGAACAGGCTCAGGAGTAGAGGTTAGAGTTCCTCCTTTGTGAAGCTGTGGGTATACACCTGGCCCCATCTGCCTCCATTGTGCGGTTCATTGCTGACATCATCTTGACAGCAGAGGGCAGTAGTGATCAGTGAGCCCAGAAAGGAAAGGCGGGGGAAGGAAGGTGTTCTCCTATAGGAAGTGGCCCTACTCACTCCACACTCATTTCTCAGGTTTCTCCTTCTCTCCCAAATCCTTAGGCTGTGGTTGACTGTCCTGAATCTCGGCTGAGCATGGCAGAGTACACATGAATTCTAGAACCTTAGCTTTCTAATGCCAAGACCTCTGCATTAATAGCACCCACCCCCTCATGTGACAGATGGGAACACTGGGGCCCAGAGGAGGGATCGATTTGGTCAGAGCCACACAATGAGCAAGGCACAGACTGAGTTCTGGCCCCTTCAGTCACTCATACTGTGGAACTGCCCCATACTGAAAGGCCATTCAAAAGAAGGTGGGAAGCCATGAATATGAGAGATGCCCACTGCACCTTCTTGTGCCCAGCCCTGGAGACACAGGGGAAAGAGAGGTCCCAATCTAGACAATGAGCTCATGGCCACGCTAGGGAGACAGGACTCTCTTGCTCTAAATTCCACCACTCTGAGTCCTGTGTCCCTGGGTGGGCCTTTGCCACTCCAACAAGTCTGTGAAATCTGCCCCCATAGGCATGTCTGGTCCTCCTCCTCGTCCCATCTGTCTCCCCTCAGCATACCCAGCGCCTGGCAAGACACACAGTGCTCAAGGGAGATGTGAGGGCACAAAGGTGGGCAGCAGGGGCTTCTTCCTCTCTCCCCCACCACTCTTGGTGCCTGCCTGGTGAGCTTCCTGAGAGTGTCTCTGATGTCAGATCTCTGTGCCTTCATCGCACGGCCCCCAGTGGACCCCTCTCCCCCAGCACCTCCTTGCTCCATTCTCCTCTCCCTCAAGGCTCCCAAGCCTCTCTAGCGATACTGGGCATGTAAGCAGTGTGGTACATTGAGAAGGGGACTTTGGCACCCCACGGATCTGTGCTTAGATCTGGCACGTCCATTGACCCCTTGGGTGACCTTGGCAAGACCCTTGACCTGATCTGTAAAATGGAGATCCCAATCTTTGCTCCAGATGAACAGTCACAAGGATTTAGAGACAGCATAGAGAGTGCCTGGTGGAGCAGGCAGGCAGCTAGTGGCGGCCGTTGGTGCCCAAGGCCATTTTCCCCAGGAGACGATGAGTTCTTTGAAGGCAGGTGTGTCTTTCTGGTGTCCCAGGACCTAGCAAAGGTTGAAACAGTGAATGGATGGATGAAATGTCTGGGGACAGGCAGGGTACTCTGAGAAGTCTGTCCCTCACCAGCAAGAGGCAGGAAAGCAGCCTCGCCCCACCCACACCTCGTCTGCTCAGGCCTCAGGAGTCCCGCCTCCCCCTCCCAGCCCCATTCTCAGCCGTAGCACTGACAGCTCTGCCCCAGTGACTTTTTCCCTCCTAATTATCCTTTTAAATGAAATTTATGGAGGTTTCCATAAATTTTAAAACTGATTTGCACACTGTAATTAGAGCATGGCATAGGTAAGGAGTGTTGAGCTGCATATCTTCTATAATGAAATTGATGTAAAGACATCCTGGATTATCAGGGTTGAAGCCTGCCCTTCTCCGAGGCTCCAGGGACTGCCTGCTCAGGACTGACAACTGTGCTTCTTGCTTGGCAGACCACGGTGAGCTGGGATGGGGACAAGCTCGAGTGTGTGCAGAAGGGCGAGAAAGAGGGGCGCGGCTGGACCCAGTGGATCGAGGGTGATGAGCTGCACCTGGTAGGTTCCTGGGCTGGGTGGGCTGGACTAGGCTGGGCCCCCAGAAGCTCTGGTCACCACGGAGGTCTGCATGGACCTTGTAAGAATGCAGTGTGTCTGGTCCTTTGTTCCTCTCTGAAGCTTCCCTTCCAAGGGCCTGGAGAAGTTACTCAAGTAACTTTATGGTTAATGTGTTTTCAAGGTCTAGGAGTTGTCGAGTCAGAGGGAGGAGGTGAGGGGGTGCATTCACTAAGTGTGAGGCACTGAGCTAGGCCCTTTTGCATTCCTTCCTCTTCCCATTCTCTCAGCAGCCGTATGGACCATGTACTGTTACTATTTATCTGTTTGGAGATGAGGGCATGGAAGTTCTGGAAGATTAGGTTAAACATATAGTTCGCACATTAGAAGGTGGCGGAACCAAAATATGCTCCCCAATGGTGTATATTTTCACCATGCCAAATTGTAGCAGACCAGAGCCAATGAGAATTCTCTTAGCTTCTGTAAGACATGATCTCAGTCTAAATTACAAGGAGGAGAAGTCTTCAGTTAGGGGGTGGGCCCCACTCATCCTGTCCTCCAGCCTGGGGACTCAGGTCAAAACCACTTCCACTCTGTCCACTGGGAAGAGCATGCACAGATCCATAGTGAAAAAAATCCTGAAAACCTATTGCCGTCAAGTCAGTGGTGACCCCATGTGTTACAGAGTAGAGCTGAGCTCTGTAGTGTTTTCTGGGTAATCTTTACAGAAGCAATCACCAGGCCTGTCTTCCATGGTGCCACTGGGTAGGTTTGAACTGCCAACCTTTAGTAGCCAAGCACAAACAGTTTATGCCACCCAAGGACCTAGTAGAGCCCCATGTTTTCTGGATATAGCACGTGTCCTCTAACCGGAGAGGTCCCATTGCTCCACCCACCCCCTTGGAGCCCCTAAATGTCTTCATTCTGTGGTAGGAGCCTGATCCAGATGATTCGGGTTCTAGACCCAACTCACTGATTGTTTTCGGGCAGGTCCCTTCCTCCCTCTGGGCCACATCTGCAAAATGCCATCCTACCATGTAGGAGTTCTATGAAGACCAAGGTCTGTAAGAGCTTTGAGAATCTGAGTGCTGAGGAGAGGCACGAGGCCGTTATTTTCAGAGGCTGCTTACCCTAATGCAGACAGCCTGGGCTGAGGGGCCTGACCTTGAGCTTTTCTCCTCCTGGGCCTGTGTTTCCTCAACTCTGAGCAAAGAGGGTGAGTGAAATGACCATTGGCCCTTTCACCTCAATAGTTCTGTGGATCTATATGTCAGAGGTTGTAAACTGGGGGCCGCAGAGGCCTGTTTTACTTGGCCCTCACAAGACTTCAGACTTCTCAGTCAACAGCTTAAAAATTGGAGATGTCACATAAATACCCAGATTTCCAGCTTCCTTCAGAAAAAAAAAAAACTTGGAAGATGTGGCAACCCTGTGCTATCATTCCTACCTGGCAGTAGTCCATAGGGACGGAGCAGGGGCTGCCCTTGTGGGCAGAGCATGGGCTTTCTTGGCTGCATTTTAGAGCCACCTGGGAGGCTTTTAAAAATACCAATTCCCATGCTCCACTCCCTGAGGTACTGATATAAGTGGTCTAGAGTGGAGTCCAGGAGCTCCTCAGACTCCCCAGGTAACTCTAAGGTGCAACCGAAGCTCAGAACTGCTGCAGTAGTTTGCAACCCCTGGTCTGTGGTAACCTATTGAGCTCCTTTGTGGGTTAAACCATGAGTCTGGGCCTGGTTTCTTCCATTCCCCGGGCACAGACTCTGTCCTGGGCTCAGGCCTGAGGTTCTCAGAGTCTTTCCACCTCTTGGGAAGGGGACATCGGGAGTTCTATTGGTCAGCTCTAAGCCACATCTGTTCCCCAGCCAGCTCCACGCACAGTATGCAGCAGAGTCGGATCTCCACTGATCAAGTTCAACCTACTTTCCAAGGCATTGGTTAGTTTGCTCCAACTCTTGGGAGAAATTAGCAGCCATTGAGGATTTTCAGAGTTCCTGCCCTAGACACACCAAACCCCAAGTGTGAGCTTATTCTGGCCGTTGACATGGGTCTGCTTATGTTTCAGGAGATGAGAGTGCAGGGTGTGGTCTGCAAGCAAGTGTTCAAGAAGGTGCAGTGAAGCCCAGCGGACGGCCAGACCATGGCCTCCGGGAAGGAGTGGTGAGAAGCACGGGCCAGGATCCCCTTCTTTGCACAGCATGGAGCAGAAGTGTCCAGCCCCCGCCCCCCGGGCATCTGTTAGCAGAGTGTCTCTTGACTTTGTTTCTTTTCCTTTTCTTAAAACGAAGCCAGCTCAATAAAAGTGATCTCTGCTCACAGTGTCTGTTTCGGAAAAGCTTCAAATCCCCACCGTGCTCACGTTTTTTCTGGACTTCTGAGGCTGGCTTCTCTGATACCACCCCTGGAGAGAAGGAGAGATTCAGCCACGCCCCTGCAGATTGAGCCCTGACCTGACACCTGTGCATGTCTTTCCCCAGAAGCACAGGCTGGGGTGCTGGGTATGTGTGTGGCATGATATTTAGTCATCTGTGTATTAAGTACATCCGTGGGTACAGTCACCGCCAAAGCATAGCCGGAAAAGAAGCCCTCCACCCCTGGAAGTCAGAGCCTAGTTAAGGAGATCCAGTCAACAGACAACAGCTTCATAATTGTACCATACACATAGGAGATGCTCCAAAAATTATTTGGGAATGAAATGGAACTGGACAGAATTTTAAGCCCCAAGCTAGAATGAGATGAAGCTTAATCAAAGATAATTACGTGTTGGATTTGATTTCAGAGGCGTCTTAAGTACACCACTTCCCCAACCCACAACCACCACCCCTCCATTTATGCACTGATGAAAATCCTTTCTTTTCACTGTTACAGATGAGGCTTAACTTGCAAATCTCCCTACAAGATGGCTTGTTCTGGTTCAAACCCTTGCTGAGAATTTGCATTCTTAACAAGTTCCCTGCTGAGAATTCGCATTTCCACCCCAGATGTACTGAACCGGAATCTACATTTAAACAAGATCCCCAGATGATTCTTATTTATAACTTCCTGGGAACTTGTTAGAAATGCAAATTTCCAGCAGGGGTTCGAACCAAAATGAACCGGTTCGGTTCGCAGCTCTGGTACTGACAAAAGGGTGGAGGTTTTCTATTTACCAGCTCACCAGCACCAATGCCCTAGACTTGCCAACTTGAAAGTACAAAATTCTTAACATTTTTTGAAGTGGAAGGGGCTGCATTATTTCAAAAGACACACAAAGTAAGACCTTATTGATAAATTTATATCACATAATTTCAAATTTGCAAGAATTAGGACTGCCGTGTGTTATATCCCAGGCAGGAGCTGCTGAGGCCAAGTCTAGGGTAGGCGGAGGCAGGAGCTGAGGACAAGTAGCAGGTGAGGTGGTGGCACACTCAAGCTCTGGAGCCACACGGCCTGGGATTAATTCCCAGGGGTGCTACTTCCTAGCTCTATGAAGTTAAGGCAGATTATGCAATTTGTCTGTGCCTCAGTTTATTCATCTGTGAATCAGGACTAACAAATCCTCGTAGAGTTTTTGTGAGGGTTAAATGCATTTACTACGTGTTGGTGGCTTAGTAGTAGAGTTCTTGCCTTCCAGCTGGGTTCCCGATTCGGCCGAGGCACTCCATACACAGCCACCACCCGTCTGTCGGGAGGTTTACGTGTTGTCATGATGCTGAAAAGGTACAGCTTTCAGACTAAGATGGACCAAGAAGAAAGGTCTGGCAATCTACTGCTGAAAATCAGCCAATGAAAACCCCATGGATCACAGTGGTTTGAACCACAACCCATCATGGGGATGGCACAGGACTGGGCAGTGTTTTGTATTGTGGAGTTGGTGGCTGACTTGACGACAGTTAACAACCATTAACAACTTAGAGCAGATACATATTTTATCTGCAAAGGGATTTGAACAGTGCCTGGCATATAACAAGCCCATGTACACGTGGGTTTAAAAAGGAAAGATCTGAGGGGCACCTCATGGTGGAATCAACATGACTTCACTACTGACAAGGTGTGGGGAGCAGAAGAGCAGGAGGGGCTGAACTCAGGGGGACAATCAACAAAATGAGGAGGGCCATCCTGAAAATCCAGTGAGGGTGCCCATCTAGGGCAGGAAGTCCCAGACTTGACCTCATTGGCCAAGGGAGGGTCTAGAACAGGCCAAACCCACGTGAAGATTCTCTGCCACCCCCACCTCCCCAGATAATGATTGGACCCCAGGACTTCTGATCTGATGCTCAGACACAGTGACCTGCAATTAAAGGTGAGAGGGTGGACTTTGTACTCTAAACTCCCAAGGCCCCTGAATGTCATTCTCTATGCAGCTCCCAAACCTCCCCACAAGAAAATCCTGACAAGCTGAACCCCAAGGACTCCTCTTGAGGCCTTAATTTATAACCTGTTTCAATTCATAGGAACCCTGGTGGCACAGTGGTTAAGTGCTCAGCTGCTAACCTAAAGGTCGGTGGTTCGAACTCGCCAGCCACTCCTTGGGAGAAAGATGTGGCAATCTGCTTCCTTAAAGATTTACAGCCTTGAAAACCCTATGGGGCAGTTCTACTCTGTCCTGCATGGTCGCTGTAGGTCAGAATCTGACTCAACAGCAGTGAGTTTGGTTTGGTTGGTCCCAATCAATTAGGACATCACTACAGTTCCTTTTGGAGCCCTGGTGATGCATGGTTGACAGCTATGGTGAGCTATGGCTGCTAACCAAAAGGTTGGCAGTTCAAATCCATCAGCCGCTCCCTGGAAAACTCTGTAGAGCAGTTGTACTCTGTCCTATAGGGTCGCTGTGCGTCAGAATCACCTCAGCAGCAAAGGGCTTGGACGGCTCCTTTCAGGTACAAATTAAACAGCTCTGCAGCTGAAGACTTGCACTGCAATTGGAAGCTGCTTAATTCGAAATGTCCCTATCCATGCCAACACCAAAAGGAGCTTTCCTCCCACCACACACCCACCTGCAGATCTGGCTCTTCATAACCTTCAGTTCCCAGGAGTTTCTCCACCTTCCTCAGCTCCAGCTTCACATCCACTCTGAGCTGGAGACCTGAGGGCAGAGACAACGCAGCGGGATGGGTAGGGAGGGGAGCTGCTATTCCTTCCCATCACAGGAACAGCCTTTCGTCTTGGGGGAGATGGTAGAAAGACAGGAATGGCTGTACCTTTGGAAAAAAAGGACTTGATCCATCCTGGGAGGGACACTTGCCAATGATGACTTGCCTCAATCCCCTCCAATAATTTAAATGCTACCAGTCCTTCAGAGACAAGTTTGGGGTACTCCTCTCCCACCTCTCCTGTTCACTACAGCCCATGAGATCCCCCTTCTTTGAGGTCTGAGCCCCTCAAGAGTGATCCTAGCCATTCCCATTTTTTGAGGCCTGATGAAGAAATACCTGATCAGAATTACAAATATTGTGGTTTATTTTAAATGGTTACATGTAACAAATAATTTAGCACACAAAAAATACAATGTGATGTTATGTTGTGCTAGTTCCAAGATAATTGTAGGATTTATAAAATTAATGAATTCCTTGTGTACCTGAAGTAGTCTGGTCCAATTGGGGTGCGTAAGTTTAAAGGTGGAGAATGAACTTCATTCGGCCTCGTCTGTGTATCTCTATGACCTCTATGTGTGACTTTGTTTGGGGATTGTCTTAGTCATCTAGTGCTGCTATAACAGAAATACCACAAGTGGATGGCTTTAGCAAAGAGAAATTTATTCTCTCACAGTCTAATAGGTTAGAAGTACGAATTCAGGGGGCCAGCTCCAGGGGAAGGCTTTCTTTCTGTTTGCTCTGGGGGAAGGTCTTTGTCATCAGTCTTTCCCAGTTGAGGAAATTCTCAGCACAGGAACCTCAGGTCCAAAGGATGGACTATTCTCATGGCACTTGTTTCTTGGTGGTATGAGGTCTCCCTGTCTCTCTGCTCGCTTCTCTCTTTTATATCCTCAAAAGAGATTGACTTAAGACACAACCTAATCTTGTAGATTGAGTCCTGCCTCATTAACATAACTGCTGCCAATCCCACCTCATTAACATCACAGAGGTAGGATTTACAACACTGAGGAAAATCACATCAGATGACAAAATGGTGGACAATCACACAATACTGGGAATCATATCCTAGCCAAGTCAATACACATTTTTGGGGGACACAATTCAATCTGTAACAGGTATAATGTCAAAAGTTGAAAAGCCTGTCATGAATGTGATGTCTGGGCCAAATGGGCCCCTGCCCCAGCACTGCCTGTCCCCACTGTGGGCCCTGTTTGATCTTAACATATAACTTTCAGTAGTATCATTGTCCTAGACACCCAGGTGGACACCTGTCACATTTGTGGTTGCCTGTGATCTTGTGGTTAGGCTCCCTGGGTGGTGCAAATGGCTAATGCGCTCAGCTGCTAACCAAAAGGTTGGAAGTTCAAGTCTACCCAGAGGTGCCTTGGAAGAAAGGCCTGGCCATCTACTTCCAAAAAAAGCAGCCATTGAAAACTCTATGGAGCACAGTTCTACTCTGACACACATGGGGTTGCTATGAGTCAGAGTCACCTCAACAGCAACTGGTACCATATTGTGAACAGCTTTCCCGTGCTTGGGGAATTTTCTTTGTTAGGAATTCCATCTCCCTGAGGTATTACTAGAAGGAAGAATTCACTTTCCCACCCTACTTTGCAACCAGGTTTCAGGCAGGAGACTAGGTTCCCCAGTGAGATGCGCCTGAGTGTATCTCTGGTTTGGAAAAGAACCATGTGAGGAAGGTGGACCGCCCGTATTCAATCCTTGGGAAATGGTGGCAGCCCAGGATTCTGGCCTTGGGGTTTACCAGCGGCAGAGCCTCTGGTTTCCAGTGTCCAGTGCCATGGGTGCTAGCTATCCTGTCAGTGGACACTGAGCAATGCTCAGTGTAAATTGGGTATTGCCCCAGCCACGTAGCCTTCAAGCTTGACCCTGGAAGTTTGTGGGATACCTAAAATTCTGTAATAAGTTTCTTTTCCACTTAAGCTAGCTAGCATGCATTCTGTTCACATTAAGAACCCAGATACCTCTTGCGGGTATCTGCCCATCTCATAACTCTCCCTCCTTCTCTGAGACCAGCCCTTCATATACGGAGTAGAGGAGAGAAGGTGAGCTGTAGCCACGTTAAGTGCTATATGGCCTGGCCCACAGCCATAGCTGATTGGACTAGGGGTAGATGGACACCT